GAAGTTGAATTTTCTATCACACACAAGACCTGATCTCTCCTACTCAGTTCAAACTCTGAGTCAGTTCATTCAGCAGCCAAGGCAGACACATGTAAAGGCTCTGAATCATGTGTTAAGATACATGGCTCATACAGTTGGATAAGGTATTCTGTTACATGCCTCAGATCAGTTAACACTAACAGCATTTTCAGACTCGGATTGGGCAGTGATAGGCGTGTCACGTACGTAACAAAAATAACCGAACTAACTCTACTATGTAGTTGAGCAAGTAGAGGTCGAATCCCTAGAGACTAAGGACTAACTAATTAAACAGACTCAAATCAATATTAAGCAAGTAACCAATCAAAGTTGAGAAATATATACTAAAACAACATTAACTAATAAAATAATAATAATACAAAATTAATCAAGAACTAAAAACATCTAAGATTAAGTATCCCCACTAATATGAATCAATGCAATATAACAATCCCTTTCCCTCAATTAAATCAATAAATATTCCACATGACAGATTCTCCCTAAAAAAATACTAAGAGTTTCTTTCGACCAACTAATAGCTTCCCTAACATGCAATCATACCTATTTTCATGGAATCATACATATTAAAGACATTGAGAACGGCATCCTATAATCCCTAGCAAGAACAATTAGCTATTTTCATGCATAAAAGCTGTTACTTTTAATTAGGGTTCTAAAATCAATTAAGAATCAACTTTCGTTGTAAACCTAATCACATTCAATAATACTATTTCTAGTTAATCATTGATAATAAAACCAACCCTAACAAAGAGAAATTATGAATTAATTAAATTGGGAATTGGGAATCAAATAACACATCAATCCATATTAGGGTTCAACCTAACCCTAGATTATGAAACTACTCACACATAATAATAGAAATAACAAGACAATTAATTAAAGAAAACATAATAACAATAAAAATTAAAGAGAATAAGGAAGAGAAATCAATACTTGGAATTGGAATTAATTATGAAAACTTGAATCTTGAAAGTAATAATGAAGAAAGTAATATCAAAAGCTCTAAAATAATGTATATAAAAGTCAAAGATAAAAGACTATCTAAAACCTATTTATATGCTATGAAAATAGTAGTAGTCTTTACTTAGGATTAGGACTCCTAAAATCCCAATAATAGGTCTGATTTCGTCACTCAATCAAGAGGCCGTAGCTAGGCTGCATTACAAGGTCGCGAGCCGCAATGAGGCTGCGGAGTAGGCTGCCGAACATGAATTTGTTGCTACATTGTGAAGTGCGCCGCAGGCAAGCCATGGTAGGTCATCGTAAACCACAATCAAGCTGCAGAATAGGCTTCCATGATGCTTCGTGGATGCTAGAAATGCTCCATATGAAGAATATCTCGCATCCAAGTTGAATTCCACGCAAATTGAGCCCTATTTCTATAAAAAAAAAAAAAAAAAAAAAAAAAAAAAAAAAAAAAAAAAAAAAACAAAAACAAACAAACCGAGAAGAGCAATATCGAAATAGGAAGAATTATAACTCTAAAAGATTAGGAAATGAAGAAAACACAATAAAATATGACCAAATATCACATATAAATCATGTATAATATCGTGTTATCAGGTAGCATGTCCAAACACAAGAAGATCAGTAACTGGATATGTTATGTTACTGGGAAAGTCACCAGTTTCTTGGAAATCTAAGAAACAACCAACTGTTTCAAAGAGCTCAAATGAATTAGAATATAGAGCAATGGCAGCCACAACATCAGAAACTACTTGGTTAGTCAGGCTGCTTACAGAGTTGGGAATGAAGAATTTGAAGCCTGTTGCTTTACATTGTGATAATCAAAGTGCAATTCATATAGGGAAGAACCCTGTGTTCCGTGAACGCACTAAACATATTGAAATAGACTGCCACTTCACTCGAGACAAAGTTTTAGAAGGGCTGTTTGTTCTGAATTATACTCCAACAGCAGAGCAGTTAGCAGACATCATGACTAAGGCACTGAGTTCATTTCAACACAACAAGCTCAAGTTCAAGCTAGGAATGTATCCAGATACATTCCCAAGCTTGATGGGGGATATTGATGACAGCTCGGATGATGAGTCAGCAGAGGATTAGAGAATTCTGTTGTAATAGAATTATTGTATTAGCTGGCTAGTTAGTTATAACAAACTATGCTATATATGCTTGTAAGAACTCAGTTGCTATTTCATTCATTTAATACAACCTTGATCTCTTTCTCTCTCTAAATATTTTCTCTATGAATTTACTCTATTTCTTGAACTTCACTGTAAATATTATCAGTTTGATTTTGCATCACATGTCTACGTACGTACAATCGCATCTAGGCGTGACCAAAGGTCGAGTTCTATTTCTGTTAGTTCTCTTAGGCGGCACATTTTTCATCTCAAGCCATGAAGGAATTTTGTTCTGTGAGTGATTACAAAGTAGTTATAGAGTACATACTTTGACTAAGGCTACAAATTACTTTGAATAGACTTATCGGTACGTTTGTGATGATACACCTATAAATATTTTTATTGATTTGAATTCATCACCGGTGCAAACATAACGCACAACGTGTTAGACCCGGTTTATTAGTTCACTTTACCTTTGCTTATTTATAATAACTAGTCGTTGGAGCACGCGCGATGCGCGTGCTCCCCCGACGGCAAGATAAGTAATATTTGTGGTTGTGTTCAGTTTTTGTGATATTCGTGGTTGTGTTCGGGTTTTGTGATATTCGTGGTTGTGTTGGGTTTTGCATTAGTAAGGACACATGAATTTACAAGTCATAACAAGAAGTAGTGATAAAGTTTTTACGGAGAAATATTTATAGAAAATTTTTTTTAAAAGTACAGTTTTCTAGAATTTGTTAGAATTTAAAGATTTTTTAAAATATTATACAATTATTTTAGATATTATTTCTAAACGCAATATGGTTTCTTATTGAGTACCTTAATTATTAACAAATATCTCGTCTTAAAATGATTATGATAATAAGGAGCAGTAATAAGGAAATACAATTTTAAAGGTTAAAGTTCTGTAAAATGGATTAAATGCAAAGCATATGAAAGAATTGTATATTTCTTTGTTATCAGTCTACATAATTGGTGTGATCTAAACTTCTTCAAATCTTGTTTTGTATTTTTACATTTTTTCTTCGAGTTGAATGTTGAATTTTAGTACTATTTTTATCCTCGAAATTTGTTTTCCCTAAGTGAATATACGATCTAATTTAGGCAAAAGTTACTGTATTCTTCCCTTAGCCTTGTCTCCTTGTTTTTTTACTTTTTGTTTTGTTATAAAATATCTCCTTGCCCTTCTTTTTCTCAACTCCCCCCTCTCTTTCTTTCTCTCTCTCTCCCTCTCTCTCCCTCTCGTATGTGATGAGTGTCATTTTGACATTTATTTTCTAGTCATGTTCCTAGATTTTTATGTTAATTCCTTTAAAATTTAATGTCTTTATTAAGGTTTTTGATATTTTATGACTTATTTCTCCTTTGTGTGTTTTCATACATTATTGAGGTCATTTTGGAAGATAAAAAGATGAACAAAATATAGGGATTCAATGTCTTTGAAAAGAAACATGATATATGCAAACTTAAGGAAATATTAAGAATCCAACACGTTCTACCTTAAGGTTGAAATCATTTCTTAAATATGTTATCAATCAGATTAATTTTCTATACAAATTACAGTATTAATTTTTTATCACATGAAATTGACAATTAATTGACCATCTTTTTCTCCCCCTCCCTCCCTTTTCTTTCCTTTCCTATCTTATGATTTTCAAAATTTATAAAGTTATGCTTTATTTGCATTTCCCCCTTTCTCAATCATTCTCCTCTCTCTTTCCATCTTTTGTTACATTGCACCACTCATGTTTTCCAAATTTTAAAGTCTTTTTAAAAATATTGTGTTTTTTTTTTCAATTTCTAAATCTTTTCAAAAGTATTGTACTTCCTCCGTTCTTTTTTACTTGACCCGCTTTGACTTTTACACTATTTGACAGTCTTTTGTGAATGATATATGTAAGGAAAAATATATTCATATGATATCTTTTTTAATTCGTTTCAATAAGTACTATCGTAATATACAACTTTTATAATTTTTACTTATAAAGAATTAAAGATCAAGTAAAAAAGAACAGAGGAAGTATGTATTTAATTCATTTGGTTAAATAGAATATTGTGTTTGCACGTAACTTTTTTGAAAGTGTTTACATTTTTGATATGTAAGTATGTAACGTTCATGCAAATGAAGGAGCATAGAAAAAAAGTATGAGCTAGTAATCTAAAGTTCTCACATGCATTAGAGCCATTACTGTCACCCTATCTCAACACGTGGTTGCACTTTATATGGTGCGTCATAACCATTAAAATCAACGATCACATGCGGTCCCCTAAATCATCAAAAAGCTTTAAAGATACACTTGATAATTTATTAGGAGCTAATTAAAAAGGCCATTATAAATATAAGTTTTCTTTATATCCTAAATTTTACTTTAGACAAGGCCTCTAGGGTTTGTTCTATTCACTTGATTTTCAATGATCTTAACTTTATCTGAACTTACATGAACTTATTAAACCTTATTTTAGTTGTAGTTTGTACTTGAATAACCCTTATCAAAACTTATTACACCTGAAATAAGTGAATATAAGATAAACAAAACAAACCCTAAAATGTGTTCTCTCGCTAAGAGTTTTTAAGAAACCATACTGCACTATTCAAATTTCCAAGTACAGACACCTTCAAAGAAAATAAAAAATAAATAAAGTACGGACATCTTCAAAGAATCCACAAAGACTTAAATAAGTGGTTTTGGCTGCTTCCATGCCAAAAAAATTATCATTAATCCTGTAAAGAGATTTCAGTTAAAGTAGAAGTTAGATTAATTCCACCAAAGCACAATCATGTTAAATTTAAAAAAAAAAAACTCATCATTTCAATATTTGCCATCTTATACAGTAAATTAGTCACTTGTATTTGACCTACCACTTATTTTGAAGTGATGAACTCAAAAAACGTATTCTAAACAACAAACACTTGCAGTTGCATGCATCAAACACCATCAATCAATCAGTACAATATCTTTATGCCAAATGAAAATCAGAATAGATAAAATTATACATTCATCATGGACAATCCATCAAAAAAGATACCTTCACAGAGGGCATCTTGTTATTAACTAAGAAACCCTATAAACAACTATAAGAGCCTCTTCTCCCAATTTCTTTCCCAACACAAAATCATCCTGATACAAAAAAGAACTAAAATTGAATATGTTAGCATAGAAATCTAAGCAATTAAAATATTTTGGTACTGGATGTACTTGTTTGTTTGGTCACTACAAGAAACTTTATGAGGTCCATATGGCCCTCAATTCTTTACCCAACCTCTACTATCCAAAGTCAAATGCCTTTCACGCAATTATTAACTCAATATACGATTCAAGATAGCTCTCACAAAGACAGCAGTACATCAAAACACAAATTCATAAAGATATTTCTCCATATTTTTAGTAACAAAACCTAGATGAGAGTATCAGTATGCCAACAAAACAAAAAAGAAAAAATTATAGGGCATTGTCCAATTATGCTAAATTTGTGACCTTCCATCACATCTCAATAGCCTCAATAAAAATACAATCCAATCAAGGAACATATACTCCAAACCAACATGAAAAAAAGAAAATGAAAGTCGACGCCTAAAATACATGTCATTTATTTCCAATACTCCAAAAGGATATCTCGACCATTCAAAAAAACCCAACAGCCAATGACATTGGAAAAGAGAAAAAATCACAAAAAATCATGGAACATACACATATAGCCATAATATTTCAAGGTAGTTCTAAAATTCATCAATCGAATGAAATTTGGTGACACATCCAAGGCAAAGTCCTATATGAGGAATATGGAACAGGAAGGCTTAATGATATCTGGTATTCTGGGTATGAGTATGCAGACAACATTCATTTTCTCTCGGTTATATGACAACTAAATCAGTATCAATATGGCCAGTATAGCATATGCATTGACATAGTCATTAAGTCACTAATACATTAGACATATAAGTAAGCTACGAAATTTAACAATCCCTATTAGAGATTCTGTGAATTAACGTTAACAAACAGAAGAATATAGAAACAGATTTCATAAACAATTAAGGTATGCGGCACCAAAAACAATTGTAACAATAATAGTAGTATCGATCAATCAGATCCTTACTCCCTCGGTCTCATTATTAGAGTCCCCTTTCTAACATTTATTACTCTAATAAAGAGAAAGGGGACTCTAATAAAGAGACGTGGGAGTATATCATAATCACAGAGAATTCGCATTGTAAGCTATACGACAACAATGAACAAATAGACTCGAAACTTAATAGTAAACCATGATATATATTTGAGCTACAAAAAAATCAAATACAGTGAAGTGATAACCTGAAACGGATGATAAATAGGAGCTTAGCCTCTGGCTCGACGTAGAATCCACCCTTCAATTTAGTCTCCCTTCTGAGACAGATCAATTCCCTCTCCTAATTAACAATAAACAAGGCTAATCAGAAACTTAATCAAATTAAATAACCATACACCAAGAACAAACACCACAAATAATACCCCTTTGTTGCACATAATAGTTAACGGAGGTAGTATATGATTAATTTATTAGAAAGATAAGTATTGTTAAACATTTAAAAGACATGTAATTTCTAGAACAATTGACATAGCATAATTAATTATGATTGTATTGGGGGAAAAGAAGAATCAAATCAGAGAGCTGACTTTTATCAATTTTATTAATACAGTAATTTTTTAAGACAATATTATTCTATTAAGACATTTTTATGATTTAATTGCTCCTTTTAATATAAGGAAGTTATGAATAAAAGGTTTGAATCATGAAAGAATATATGCTTGTTGCTAGTGGGATCAACAATTCAACATACTTTCGGCAAATAAATAATCTTAATTAAATTATTATTCCTGATGCACTTTCTTGCTGAATTTTGTGTAATTAATTAATGTGATCAAATTTACTACTGTAGTTAGTGATCAGCTTCCTGATTTCAACTCTCTTCTTCTTCTGAACATCCTGATCCTCCTTCTTGGCCAAAGTCCATTCTTCCTCCCTCTTCTGCTTTTTCAAAACTGACTCCAGTACAACAACTTTAGTAGCCTCCTCACCCATTTCTGCTTAACAAAAGTACCAATCAATCATCCATTAAAACCAAAGCCAATTACTCAAATCGTATAGCCTATAATTAAGCATCTAAAAACACTAAAACCAAATCAGCTCCTCCATTTCATATCAATTGCAGATTACACATCCCAAACCAATGCATCATTAAAATTACATGTGTAAGCCATAATCCAAACAATTTGTTACACAGAACACAAATTTATCACTACAATTTGAATATTAACCAATAAAATCTATTTAATTTATGCGATTACTTGACATATTTATACTAAAAACAAATAAAATTCAAAACTTTCCCACATTTTATTAGAAAAATACACAACGTACTCCAAATTTTTCGCATGAAAGGAAGCTAAATCAGTCAACATTCAAATAAAAGGAAAAATTTAATTAAAGAGCTGAACATTCAAACAAGTAGAACACGAGAGTGAAAGAAGAGAGAATCAAACCTGGAGATCAGAGAATCATCAAATAACCTCTCAAGCTTCTTCAATGGAGAGGAAAGTCCAGGAGTTGCTTCAGTGGAGGGTTGGAGAAAGCTCAGAAGAGAAAGGAGAGAGAGAATTGTACCTAGAGATCAACAATTCAACCACGAATCAGACAATTCATCCCAAAAGAACAATAAATCACTCCAATCCAACCCAAAAAACGAAAGCCAAAAGGCATAAACAAATCGATCAAATATTAGTGAGTCAAATACCATCTCTTAAGCTCAATCTTTTATTTGTTGGTCAATATCACAGCCTACGAACTTCCTTATGAAAATCTTTAAGTAAAATAACTATAATAGAAAATTCGGTCTTAACTGTATTCTGAGCATTACTGAAAAATGTCATTCATATTATAAGGGATGTCAGGCTCTCTGTATATTCACGAAGATCTACAAGATCTTAACTTAATAACAAACCGAGATTCTCCATGTGAAAGAAATTCATTCATAGCTTCCTTTTTTTTTCTTTTCTTTTTTTTTCTTTGGAAAATTGTTCCATGTACTCTTAAGATTTTAAAAAATGCACTCTGTACCCTGAAAACTTTCAAATGCACCGTGTATCTCGAGGTTTGTAAGAATTTGCACCAAATACCCCTAGACTCATATAACAAATGATAATTTTGTTAAATTGAGACCTCATATTGGATATAAGCATCAAATTCTATTAAATTGTAAATTGTTACAGTGTAGTGCTAGTATAATGCTAAAGCATTTAATTATCAAGCAAACTTAATTGATAAATCAAATTCTAATACCTTATAGTTTAGGATTTAGAATGATCCATGAAGTTCAAATTTTGATGTAATTTATGCTTTTAGGCGGTTTTACTCCATAAATATAAAATATTAAAAATGAGTCAGTGTGTGGAAATAATTTAAGTTTGATAAGTCAATGATATGTGCATTTGTAAGACAATTAGGGTATATGGTGCATTTTTTACAAACCTCAAGGATACATGGTGCATTTGAAAGTTTACAAGAGTATACGGTGCATTTTTCAAAACCTCAAGGCACATGGAATAATTTCCTTTTTTTTTTTTTAATCTTTAGTGGGAGTCATATTCAATTTTCAAGATATATCTTATTAATCTTTTTGAATGAAAAAGATAGTAGTAGTTGGTAGTTGATATATGATTTGAATAAAATCATAGTATTAGTTGATATAGTCCATATATATAATCAAATAAATCAATGTGGCATGTGGCATGAAGCAAGTATGTATTGTACGTAGGGTTTGTTTTCTTCAACTTATTTTTAGTTCAGTTTAGCTTTGATAAGTTCAGTTTAGTTCAATTCTTATCTTAATTTCCTTCTCTCATAAAATATTCAGTTCAGTTCAGTTCAGTTCAGTCAATCAGAACAGATCCGTAGTCTACATTATTGCAAAGGATAGATGTACAATAAATTCATTGTTTAATTACTTGAATTTTTTATTAATTTTTTTTTCTGATTTTATTTAAAATAAGTTTTTGAAATAAGGTGAATTAAAATAATATAGAGTTAAAATTGAAAAACAATGATAAATATGCAATATTTTTTTGCCATTGTGAACATAACCACAACATTAAATGGCAGCCTTAGAGCCCAAAAACTCAAAAGCTCAAGATAACACGGAAGGCGAAATCAAAGAGCTACAAAAATCCCTCCCAAATGAAACATGGTTTGTTTGGCCAATGTATCTCTATCAAGGTTTATGGTGCCTAAAGTATACTCTTGAGGGTGTAATCGCATTTAGAACCCACTTTCAAGCTCATGATTCTGATATTATCTTAGCTAGCTTACCCAAAACCGGTACAGCATGGCTAAAATCTGTCCTTTATACCATTGTTAATCGAAAAGGTTTGTCATCAAACAATTTTTCTCAACATCCTTTTAACTCTAAAAACCCTCATGAGCTAGTCCTCAACTTTGAGATGCAAGTTTACAATAATAAACTCGAAAATCATCTGAACTTAACTGAAATTCCCTCACCTCGACTCTTTGCTAGCCACATGCCGTATTCATCATTGCCACATTCAATCAAGACTTCAAAATGTCGAATTGTGTATGTTTGTCGAAACCCTTTTGACACTTTTGTTTCAATATGGCATTTTTATCTACGATTTGAGGCAAGTGAGGGCATTAAGCCCGATATGGAAATGATGGAGAAATACGTAGATAAGTTTTGCACGGGCGTCTCCCCATGGGAACCTTATGAAGATCATGTGTTGAGGTACTGGAAGGAGAGCAAGCAAAACCCGCAAAAGGCGTTATTCTTGGAGTATGAAGGGCTAAAGAAAGAGCCTAAAGAACATTTGAAAAGGTTGGCGGAATTTGTGGGTTGCCCGTTTTCGGAGGAGGAGGAGAAAGGAAATGTTATAGATGAGATAATAGAACTTTGTAGCATTAAGAGTTTGAAAGAAATGGAGGTCAACAAGAGTGGCAAGGTTGTACCTCGATTCGAGAACAAGGCTTTCTTTAGGAAAGGTGAGGTTGGAGATTGGACTAATTACTTGACTCCTACGATGGTTGAACAATTTGATCAAATGCTAGAAAAACTAAAGATGGCTGGTTTTTGTTTTGAGTACTATCAAATGAACTCAAAAGATGAAGCTCCAAATTAAACTTAAGCGATCTTGTTCGCCTGTTTTGTTGTTAAGCTATATTTTCTTTATCGGCATGTAAACATAAGATATGGCATTACTTATTACAAATCGAGTACATGTACTTCCTTTGGATCTTATAACTTGCAAAGCTTTTATTTTGCATTATCAACCTACTCTACTTTGATTATATTTACTTCTATCAATTTATAGTCTAGAAAAAAATGTTGCTATATTGGATTTCGTCAAATCTGCCACAATGTATAATATATCTCGATCCATAACTTACGAAATACCTTTTTTTTTTCATGGTACCAAAGTTGTTGGGTGACTAATAAGTACCCTCCCCAAACCCCCCTTACGGTCTTGCCTAAAAAGAAAATGAAAATACATAATATGAGACATGCCCTGGGCAAAATTTTGCGTATTGAAAAGTTTTGTAAGAAAGTACCTTTTGAATTTACAACTGAATTCACTTAAAAGATCATTTCTTGCCAATTTTTTCAAACAAAAAGTAAAAGTGAAGTTAAAAGATTCTTTGTGACAAATTTTCTTAAAATTTTTGTTGGATTATAGTACTCATTAGTATAACCCTCTTTTTCCTTTTTATTTTTTTTTTATAAAGTGTCTCAATTTAGTTTTTTGCACTATTTGCATTATCCACTTTTACTAATGTTAGTGATTAAAAGACTTAAAACTATATAGTCAAGTGGATAGTTGTTGGAATTGTCTTAGTGTATAGTTTTCTAATATCAATTATATATAGTTTACTTTATAATTTATTAATATTAGATGAAACCCGTGTAATGCACGGTTTGTTTGAATTTTTTAAAATAATTTTTTATACATATATTTATGTGCTAAAATTTGTTATATATTTAGAAAAAATTCCTAATATCAAAAGATAATATTATATATTTAATTAATTTAAACCGGAAAATCTCATTCGCCAATTTTTCTTACATGTCATTTAAATTATTTAAATCTAAAATAAATTAATAATCTCGTATTTAATTGGCTACCACTAAAATTTATTATCCTTCATGGCGCGTTGAAAAAATTAAATCCTACATCGCTATCTAAAAACTCGGGAAAAAACTTCCCTTTATATATATATATATATTCACTAGTAGAAAAAAATGCTATTTGTAACGCTTAAGTAGTAACTGACATAAATTATGTTAGTTACAAAAAGAGTATTAGTAACTGACATAGATAATGCGGGTTACAAATAAACTAGTATTAGTAACTAGCATAACCAAGGTCAGTTACAAATAGTAGGTCAATGATAGGCTGACCAACTTTTAGTAAGGGGCATAAAAAATGTCAGTTACAAATAATAAGTCAAACTTTATAGACCTTATTAATTGTAAGGGGCTTTATTAAGGCCGGTTACTAATATTAGCGCCCACCACTCACGCTTCACTTTGATTTTTTTGTTTAAAAAAAATTTAAACAAAAAAAATAGTTTTAAAAAAAAAATAGTTGGTACTTGCCTACTAGTCTGCGCTTCTTTTGCCTACACACCTTTATTTACTTTCTTTTTTTTGGTTTTTACTTATCCCCAATTCCCAATTTTACAGAAAGAAAACATTGAAGAACCCTAACTTCTTACTGACTTCCTCTCCCCTCACTCTCATTCAAGGACCGGCACTGCTCTCAGATCGACGTTGGCCGCACTCCGCCGACGGCCGACCGGTGCTAGCCTGCTTGCCTTTAGCCTTCTCTGAGTTCTCTCTCTTCGACAAAGCAAAACTCTAGTCTCCAAGTTTAGTTTTTAATTAATCTATTTTTTTTTAATTGTTAATTGAAATTGTGAGTTCATTCATTTGTGAATATGTGATTTTCTGAATGTAATTTATTTTGACGGATCATTTCCTCTGAAACTGCTCTACTCCTCCAAAACTGCTCCGGAGCTCCTCCAAACTCAATCATGGAAGTTATCAACAAGGTACGCCCTCGATCTCCTCCTAATTTATTTATATTTTAATTAATTCTGATCTAACCGATTATTCAAGAAATAAAAATATGAAATTCTAGGGTTTGTTTTCGCCTTTTTTTAAATTTAATTTAATGGGTGTTTAGGGGTTTCATTATGTGATTCTTTCAAATTTGGCTTCGTAGTAGCAGATTGGGGGCAAGGGGTTCGATCGCAAGAGAGAGAAACCGGAATATGTAATTCCTCACCATCATTGGCGAGTAGTGGGATGATTTCGAAATCGTTGTATGTAGCAGAAGAGCACGTTGCTGCTGGGTGGCGTACTTGGCTTGTCGCCGTTGCAAGGGGGTTATCTAAGGGTGGGTCCGTAGCGAGATGATTTATTGAGAAGTTAAATAAGGTATAGCTCAATGTATCCTTTGTAATTTTTTCCTAGTTTTATGAATTTTAAATTGATTGATAAATTAACTAACAATTAAGAAATTGGGTATTTGTTTAATGCATTGCATTTGGGCATTCATACAAACCAACAATTACGATTTATATATAGTAATGGGAGTGACTTTTTTGTTTCATTTGTATTTGGTTGAGTTTCTCCTAATTTTGTCTACGTAGTACTTTTGTTACAATGCAAATTTAGATTTAAATTTCTGTTTTTTGAACTTAATCTACAAAAAAAAATTAAGATTATTGTTTTTTATGTATAGTTGCATTGTTGTATATTAGGTGTATTACTTGAATTTTCATGTGTGTTGATTAAAACTGAAGAGTTTATCTTCTTGTTGAAACAGAACTTGTTCATCAAATTTGTTGTGTAAAGGAAAGCATGGTGTTTCCTTGAGTTTAGACGAGTAGAGGAGAGTTAAGGATTCATGAGAGTTTAGATGATCTAAGCACAGACTTGGTAGAATATATCTTAATTATCAGATGCATCAGTAAAAGAGCGGGGCGTTTTTATCATTGCTTTATCTGGTGGTTCTCTCATTGTCTTATTGGGGTATTCAATCTATTCATTGCTCATATTTTACATTATTCATGCCTTTTGGTTAATTATTTGTGTATATCATTTTTTGCCAAAACAGAAAACTTGCTGAAAGTGCCTTATAACAAAACTATTGATTGGGTTAAGTGGTATATTTTTTGGACTGATGAGCATGTGGTAGAAAAGAGCCATGCTGACAGCAATTACAAGCTAGCAGGACAGTCTCTTGACCAAGGTCCTTTTTTGCCCTCTTAATTTTCATCTATAGCTTCTTTACTTTTTGAACTGAAAGTGTTTGCCCTGCTTTGAAGCAGATTCATGTATTTCCTTGGTGTCTTCTTTTATTGTTATTGTACTTGTTTTATTACCTTGGAGCTTCATTTTGAATTTTGAAGCCCGCCTGTATGATTGCTATATTTGTGTACTGTGTAGTAATTGTGCAAGTTAATTGCAGTTATTGAATGCTCCTATTTTGTGGAACTGGCTTCATATCTGAGGACCTAGTTTGCGGGTTTTCTTGGAATAGTTGTAAGGCTAAATTAATGAGTGACCATAACTCTAAGGTATTCTTTTGTCATTTTAAAGTCCAAATTTACTGTAGTTTATGCGGTGAAGGATTGCTATCAAATCATACTCTTCAGTATTTTATTTCCTATGTAAAAACAACTGCATAAAATGTACAGATGAGGTGTTGTGTTTAAGCTTAGACTGACATGTTAGCTTTATGGTTTTTTTTGTTTCAGTTCCGATATAACTGTCATCAACTTATCATAATAGAAGGATCTATAAGTCATGAGGCTTTTGCAAAATTACAAGAATCTAAGAAAAACTCTATGGAGAGCTTACTCTTATTCTTTTCTTTGATGCTTGAATTATAGGGTGTTGGTTGCTGGCCATAAGTTTATTAGTTTATCTTGTCTCTTTGAAATTCTCTAAGATCATAGAAACTCTCAGGAAGCATAGTAATTTTCATGTTATGTGTTGTTACTTTGTTGTATGCCTAGACATTTTGTAAAATGCTGCTATATACAATTTGAATGGTATTGGCATGGTTTTGAATGGTTTAGCCTATCCTTTTTTTATTTGGGGGAGGGCGGTGTTCATATGCAATTTATTGATGTAATATTTGCAATTTTTCAGGGGCTAGTCTTGTATTCTTCCATGATATGTATTGCATTATATTCTTGTTCTCTCATTCTATCTCTCCAGATAAATGATGTCCATAGTTTCGAGCTCAATATGCTTTCTTCACAATTTGCTGAACTTTTACACCTGCCTTTTATAATCTTACACGAGAAAATATTTTTATAAACCATGTTATTTATTCATATAACTTGAATTTGCTATCTTCTTTTTTCCAGCCTTTGTTGATGCAGTTCTGTTTATTTTACAAAGGTTATGCTGTTAAGGGGACAGTCCTTGTTAATCAAACGCTATAAAGATAATTTGTTTTTATTACATACAATGTTCAGGTTGGAGTTCACTAGAGTTTTGAGCTAGTTTAGGCACTTAGATTCATCAAGTTAATTAAATAATTTTGCAAAGAATGATTTTCCTAAGTGTATGTCGATGTTTGATGTTACTTGAATAGTCTCCCTCGGTTTTGTTGCTTATTTTTTTATAATATCCCCTAAGTTTGATGCATTGACCATGTTGGTAGAGTTCACTTGGTGACTGTCTGAAACAACCCTTTTTTTAATTTTGGCTTTTATTTATGTATATATTTCTTTCCTATGCAGGATTCTGTCGTAATATCAAGTGCTCAGTGTGAACTGCTACAATCCATACAGAACAGTCAAATTTGTGAAGCAGACGGAGACAAAATTGACAAAATCGTCAAAATTTGAAGGTTGACCATTGTATCAATTAACTAACTAGGTTTTTTTTTTTTAATTTTTTTTTAGTTATAGAGTATTATTTAGTGTGAATTGTGAGAGAAATATTTGTAATTTACACAAGTACATCAATTCAATATAATTTACAAGATGTCGCTTAAAGTTGGTCTTATATTGGTTAGATTGATAGTTATTAACAATTGATGGTCTTTATATTAAAAATATATATATATATATATAAATGTAGTGTACGGATGGTGGCAGTAGAGGAATTTGCTACTGCTACCATTTAAAAAAAAAACACTTTTCGTAACTAGCGTTAGGCTATGCCAGTGACAAATAATGCTTTATTTGTTAACGCCAGTTACAAATAGTATGCTTTTTAACTTGGAAAATAGCTTATTTGTAACTGGCGTAAGGTTAAGCCAATTATGAATAGTACATTATTTGTAACTAACATTAACCGGTTACAAATAGTTTTCACTAGTTGTAACGGTGGCATTCGCAACCAACAATGCCAGTTACAAAAAGTCAATTTTGCCAGTTACAAATAGCATTTTTTCTACTAGTGATTAGATTGATTATATTAATTAAAATTTTACATTAACGCACTTATCTACTCAAATTAGTACTTTTTTTGACAAGAATATCAAATAACAAAAGTAGTATAACAACAAAACACACAAGAAAACAACAAATACATTGAGTGACAAGCTTCACAAAAGGAGCTAAGTTGATGGACTCCGAAACAAGTGGTGATTAGGGGTGGCAATTCGGGTTAGCAGGTTGGGTTCGGGATCAGATTTTGGATCGATTTCGGGTTTTGTTTAGAAACTATAAAAAATAGTGTAGAATTTAATATTATTACTAAATATGAAATTTGGGTCAAATCGGATTGTATTCGAATTGTTCGGGTCCAGTTCAGGTTTCTCTCAATAGCTTCGGGTCAAGTTATCGGGTTGGATTAGAGATTGCCACCCCTAGTGGTGAAACTAGACGTTGCTACAAGCCCACACGATCCACCCTACGACCTACAAACAACTACAGTCAAACTAGGACCCTTCAAAAAAACATGATACATACGGAGTAGTATTTAAGATTTTGAGTAGAGTGGCTAAAAATACTACGTACAAAAGTCAAACCCCCTATCCCTTTACTCTCCCTCCATTTTCAATTTCCACTCTCCCACCAACACCTACCAATGAACCCCACAATCACCGCCGCACCAACAACCGAAGAAGAGCTACAACAGCTAAAATCATCCCTTCCTAAAGAACTATGGTTCAATTCTTACCCCATGTATTTTTACCAAAATTGTTGGAATATTATTCTTGATTCCACCATTTCTTGTCAAAATCATTTTCAAGCCCAAGATTCTGATATTTTCATTGCTAGCATCCCAAAAACTGGCACAACTTGGCTCAAGTCCTTAATTTTCTCCATTTTTAACAGAAATAATTACCTAATTTCTGAAAACCCTTTACTTAAACACAACCCCCATGAATTAATTCCTCAATTAGAGTCCATAATTTATGCTAATCCACAAAACCCAGATCTCAAAACCCTAGAAAAAAAGTTAGATTACCCAAGAAGTTTAGGGACCCATCTTCCAATTCAATCACTACCCACTTCAATTAAGACCTCTAATTGCAAGATTATATACATTTGCAGGAACCCTTTTGACACTTTTGTATCATCTTGGTTATTATACTTGAACTATGATGAGAATGAGAGTGTAAAAGTGATATGATTGATGAATATTTTGGTAAGTTTTGTGAAGGAAAATTCCCATTTGGCCCTTTTGAGGATCATGTATTGGGGTATTGGAAACAGAGTTTGGAGAATTCAGGGAAGGTTATATGTTTGTAAAATTTGAAGATTTGAAGGATGATCCTAAGGGTCAATTGAAGAAATTGGGGGAATTTGTCGGGTACCCGTTTACGAGTGAGGAAGAACAAGGTGGTAAAATTGATGAGATTATGAAGTTGTGTAGCATTGAGAAGTTGAAAGAAGTGGAGGCTAATAAAAGTGGAAGAGTTTATTCTTTTATTGAGAATAAGTGGTTTTTTAGGAAAGGAGAAGTTGGTGATTGGGTTAATTACTTGAGTCCTACAATGGTGGAAAGGTTTGAGAAAATAATGGGTGAGAAATTTGCTGGTTATGGGTTGAAATTATGATTGATTATTGTTGAATTGTATAAATTATGCTGTGTGTAATATGAATGATATGAAGATGTATTTGTTTGTTGCTTTGTGTTATAGTATTAAGTAACTATAATTACCTATGAGTTTGCCTATGGTAATTTTCTAACATATTATAAGTGAATTAGGGTCTAGTCTCTTTAGATTATTTTCAGTTCAGTTCAGCTCTAATAAGTTCAGTTTAGTTCTTAATTTCCTTCTCTCATAAAATATTCAGGTCAATTCATCTCCAATAAATTCAGTTCAGTCAATCAGAACAAGCCTTTAGAAATCACATTTGAGTCAAATTTTTGGCAAAGAGGGAAAATAAGGTCTGGTCTAGGCAATGGACTTTGTGTTTGATGTCCATTTTCAATAATTTGGGCTTATATTTTCTATTCCTAGCTTTGGTGTCAATAGTTTTATTTCCCAGCAGACCCATAATTTCAAGTAGCCACCGCGAAATGGCCTAACTGTGTTAGAGATGGTAAACTACAAAGCTTACATCAGGTTTAGGTAGAAGGTGTAGCAAAATGTAGGGAAGTCGTTTGAGGAGCCACCTGACTTGATGGTCTTATCTTATTTCTGCTAAGAAAATCTAGATCGGTTCATTAATAAAATGAAGAACCCACGTTTTGGGCAACAAAATCTTACCCATTAAATTTGTTAGGTGATCCATAACCAAAACATAAATGCAGGTCAAGGCTCCAACGAGCATCCTATGAATAGACATCAAACCAAATCTAACTTGATTACGAATCCGCCGACAACGTTTTCTCTATATATTTCTCTGAATTGGAAAACTCACTTACCTAGTTACCTATACAACTACATATGTTTTACCTCCCTACATTTTTGCTTGCCTATCAAATTGTGTCACAACCCAAGTTACAACAATTTTGGGAAGGAGGATCATTACATTATAAGTGAGTGACAGTGTTTCAATTAGGGGCGTCAATTCAGATGATTGAAACAGGTCTGATATGGTCAGGTCGGGTCAATTTTTAAAGTTAAGTCATACTAAACTGTTATGTTCACGTGAGTCCAAATCTGAATCAAATATTTTTTGGATCGGTTTTGGATCGGTTCGGGTGTGCTTTTGACACCTCTAGTTTCAATGCGACGGTCATGCCAGGGCAATGACATACTTGCTGATTGTTGATCGGCTATCGCGACCTCAAACAACTAGCAAGGATTTTGATTTTAAAAAATCAACTTCAATTTAACTTGATTGGCTTGAACCTAACCTCGCCTCTAGTAAAACTACAATGTACCGATGTATTGTTCCAATGAACTGGACATAATTCTATTAGTCTAGCAAATGTAATTTGATTACTGATTATAACACCATAAAAATTAGGAGTACCTAGTTTTCTCATTAGTAGCCTAAATCGTAGCTATACAAAGTAATGGCTATTGAATCATTTCACATGGTGTTACCTAGCGCGCTAACAGTTAGTCATTTAGCCAATACTACGGGACACTGCTTTTTGGTCACCATCTGACAAGAGTACATGATATGAATACAGTTAAATGAAAGCAACATGTAAAAAAAAGCATTAAATTTGAATGATCACCTACCTCTTAATAATCAACAAGAAACATTTATCGCATTATAGGACTATGTATACTCAGCAAGTCAGTATATATGTAGCCGCTAAATTTATACCACATAATTTTACCGTGCAATCCCCAAAAAGAATACCTATATCATTGATCATCCGTTATCTAGGATGAAATGCTAGCGGAACTAGCTCGGACAAGGGGGTCCCACTAGGCGTGGGACCCACTGAGTGCGAGTTCCGGCAAAGGGGACAAGTAGGGCTCATCTTAAGCCATTGATCAATACAACCAACATGAAAACAATGATTACAATCAGGCATACATCTTACAGTTTGTTTGGGCTTATATTCAGACAAGCAAATAGAACATGGGCCGTTATTGGGCTTAGGGAGCCTCTTGCTCTCACCCAACACCACTTCCGGGTATGACACTCCCTTTTTGGGCTGCATATCTCGGCCCACTTTTAACATAACCGGGCCAGGCAGCCCGGTTACTATAGGCCTGGGCTGCCTATCCCGGGTACCGGCACTGTTTATATTGTCGTCGTCGCTTTCAATTGTGGGACGGTGTCGGGTGCTACCGGATGACTTGATACGGACGCAAGCATAGGAGGCGAGCATGATGGTGGAGATGAGGACGAGGATGCTAACCGCGATCGCAATGCCATAGCCGAGGCCGACGCTAGAAGTGGTTGTGATAGAGGTGGGAGGAGATTGGTGTGGGATGGAAGGGATTGGTATTGACATGAACTAACTCATGAGATGAATGAAAAAATAAATGTACTAGGAAAATATTGTTATGTAAGACGTGGGAGTAAGTGTAGGAAATAAGTGGTGAATTTTAGGAGGGTTATTAAAGTTTATGTTTGTATTTTTTTAATATATGGAATTATAAATATTAAATAAGGTAGTTGAAACTTAAAAAAAAATGAGAGAAAAAGAGTGTGAAAAGAAAGAGGAGTAGTAATTAAGTAGAGGAAATGGTGGAGTAGGTGGTGCTTGCTTGCTTAAGGCCCGCCGGGCTCCACGGGAGGATATAATAAAAGAGGCATTGGAGTTGGTGTTCAACACTTGCAACTTGAATAGAAAAGTGTTATGCTTTTAATGTGGGTGGTTTCAAATCATCTTATGTCATGTTATGGATGTATATGAATATATATGTGAGCTCCCTTCATTTTAGATTTCTAGGCAAATACTAGTACAATTCTTATGGGGATGTATGTGCATAAGTGCATTGGTATCTTAACGAGTCAATCTTATATATTATACTCCACTTGCCCTATATTATGATGCCTATTTTTATTTGACAAAAGCTAACGAACGTCCTAAAGGTGTTGGATAAGATAACCATAAGTGAAAAATTAAGATAAGATGAATATTACTTACACCAATGATGCGTGATTTCGACATGCTTTTTAAATTAACTAGTTATTGGCCCGGGCGATGCCCCGGGTCATTATAAATTTATTACTTTAATTGAACTATATATATTTTGGCTTGTTTGTCATTGAAAGCTTAAGAGGTATTTTTATTTTTATTTTTTAAATGATAGCTTAAGTAGTTAGTTGTTTGTATGAGGTGGTTTGACCCTCCATATAGGGTAAATGATAAATCATCCAATGTGAAAAAAAATATATATAACTGATAAATCAAATATATATAAATGTCAATATATATATTGCTCTCTCCGTCCCAAATTACTCGCAACGATCTGATTTTTTGCACTATTCACACAACTCTTTTTGACCATCTTTTTTTAACACAAACTTTTAAAAAAATTGGGTGTACAATAATTATTGTACATCCATTATAAAGATAGCGTAAAGTGATTAAAAGTTACCCCTGAAATGCATAAAAGTTACCCCAATATGCGTAAAAATAACCAAATTCAAATAAAAATTATATACGCTTTATTAGTAAAGAATCACATTTTAAATGACTAAAAATCAATTATTAGTGATTGAATGTAATTAAATTACCTTTATAAAACTTTTCTTGTTGCCTAATTATATAAATATTGTATTATGTTTAAAGTTATCCAAAAAAGGCAAAAAGTTACCCTAAAATTAGCTAAAAGTTACCCTTATACTGCTCGATGTACACTAATATTAGTGTAAACCGGATGTATACAAAAGTTTTTGTTTTTTTAATTAATATATGAAAATCAATGTAATCATGTAAGATGTTGTTGGGTCTATTTTAATGTATAGTTTCTTAATATAAATTTTTTATAACTTATATAAATATATAATAAAAGATATCAACGGTCAAACATGTGCATCGACAAGCGTGTCCAGTCAAAATGTTGAAAGTAAACTGGGATAGAGAGAGTACTCCATAATGCACCCTAAAAAATTACTCTATAATTACAATTGTAATATATATAAATCAGAACTTTTACTCTATAATTACAATCTTATGAATTAATGCATAAATATATGGAGTAATGTTTAGTTTCTTACAAATTTTATTATTATGCAATTATTAAGGAGTTACATTCCAAGTTATGGAAATTTAAATAGAGTGTTATGTGTATGAAGAGTTTTTCAATTAAACAAAACATTAATATATAGAGGTTATGCATATATTGAGTTTTCAATCATTAATGAGTTTGTATGATGTGGCTTCACAATATATGCCAAATGGCAAAATTGGTGACACATGGCAAAATAGCATGTCTTGCCATGGGTTTTAATGTATTGATTGATTGATATTGATATAACTATAGAAAATATTTTAAAATGTAATGTCTCAAGGACGTTCATTAGCAAGATATTAGGGCATGTGTCATATTAATTGAACCGAGTTAAAGTGAACTGAACTGATTGGAGCAGAACTGAATTGAATAGAGTAAAATGAATATTTAATGAGAAAAGGAAATTAGGAGCTGGACTGAACTGAATTGATTGGAGCTGAACTGAACTGAAGCTGAAGTGAACAAATCCTTAATCAATCAAAACAATATATAGACAAATACTACCTCCGTTACATATTATTTGCAATGATTGGACATTTTTCCTCTCTTCTTTATATCAAATCGTTGCAAATAATATGTAACGGAGATAGTATGTCAAGTTTAATTGTGTCAATTATTGTAAAACCGAGATTTTAGACTGAAAACGATCAAAAGATGGTGCCTAATTTTTGTGGATCTTGTGAAGCTGTGGACAATGTATCGAACTATTCTTTCCCCTACAAAATTAGAGTAAGCCCAATATAGGCCTGTTCAATCCAAAATGATCAATGGACCTAAATAACCCACTAACTGCTTTCAAAACCCTAAAGCCCAACTTACAATTTCATATCATTGATTTTAAAATCTCTTCTCAAATCTGAAACCCTAAAAATCCTAGCCGGCGCATTTAAGGAGAAAGCAAATCCGAAAGTAGCAGCACCAGAACAACACAACCATGGGTAAATTTCCAATCTTTCTTCTTCCATTCTTCAAAAGCTTCAATCTTTTTATGTAAACTAAAAGCTTAATTCGAGCTTTAATGGCGGATGATTTGATTATTTTTATGGTTATTTTTTTACAGGAAAGGTTCACGGTTCATTGGCGCGTGCCGGTAAGGTGAGAGGTCAAACCCCAAAGGTTGCTTCACAAGATAAGAAGAAGAAGCCACGTGGCCGCGCTCACAAGCGTTTGCAGTACAATCGCCGTTTCGTTACTGCCGGTAACCTTTTTCTCTCTCCTCTTAACTTAATTTTGTGATTAGGGTTTATTTGATTTGTAGTTTTATTTGTATTATCATACAATCCATTTTATAATATATGATTTGGAAATATCAATTAACAGGGGAAATATGTTTGAATTTATGAATGTGTTGATTTTTTTGGATTAATGGGTGTTTTTATGTGAATGATTTATAAATGTTTGCTTAAGTTTGTTGTTGAGCTAAATCTGTGGGTTAGTTTATTATGTTGGGATAGATGTGATTGATTAATTGTGAATGTTAGTTGCCAATTTGCAGAGCAAGTTCATGAATTATGTAATGATGTTATCTTGCATTGAAGGTTGGCAATATAAACCATAGGGTGATTCTCCGTGCCTTTCGAACTCTGCTCGTGTCGATTATGGCCTCGAACAAATTACTAAATTTTGCCTTTTCTAATCTAATAACATTTCCTCGATCACATATATAAAACAATCGGAAATCATTAAGTATCCTCGGCAACTGTTGCTGAAGTATATACTTTGTAGCTAGATTTGTACTCCGTATGTCGTGTTATATTAAGTGATGTGTTTAGTATATGTTTAAAGTAAGCCAATTTGCAGAGCAAGTTCATTAATTGTAAAATGATGCAATCTTGCATTGAAGGTTGGCAACAAAAATTATAGGGTGATTCTCCGTGCCCTTCAAACTCTCTTTGTGTTGATTGTGGCCTCGAACAAATTACTACATTTTGCCTTTCTGTAATATATTTATAGAAAAGTCATTCACAGAATTAATTATCTTATGTATAGGACTATAGGAGTTTGATAGAATGGGGAAGCATTTCAAAACACAGGGAAAATGGCTTTGGTTGCAAATGTGCGTTTATAGTGTTCATTAAATTATAAAGATTTCTTGTCGAATGTTTCAGAAGTTTATATTTGTTGCTAATTTGCATGTTCTATCTTTGTATGGCATGGATGTGTTTACTATGTACATATTTTAGCCAATTTGCAGAGCAAGGTCATTAATGTTACAATGATGCAATCTTGCATTGAAGGTTGGCAATAAAAATATTAGGGTGATTCTCCGTGCCCTTCGAACTTAACTTGTGTCGATTGTGGCCTCGAACAAGTCACTACATTTTGTCTGTTTATATATGCTAAGTTTGTAGATTTTTTTGTAATATATGTGTTCGTTACTTGTGGTTAGAAATTGCCTATTTGCAGAGCAAGGTCATTAATTTTAAAATGATGCAATCTTGCATTGAAGGTAGGCAATATAAAACTTAGGGTGATTCTCCGTGCCTTTCGAACTCTACTTGTGCCGATTGTGGCCTTGAACAAATCACTACATTTTGCCTTTCACATTTCAAACACAATCATTTTCTTTGTTACCGAAGATGCATCTGTTGCTTGTTTAGCCCATGCATAACGAGTGTTTTATATAGTGGTTGTGTTGTATGCAAAGAAAATGTTCTTGATAGCATATCAGTTTATTTTTGTTCATTTAACCTTGTCAGTCTTGAATAGGTTGTGTCATTTGTTTTTCCCAAAAAAGGTTGTTTAATAAGGAGTTAAATTTTTAGAGTTCATTGTTGGAGATAGCCAATTTGCAGAGCAAGGTCATTAAATATAGGTTGATGGAATCTTGCATTGAAGGTTGGCAATAATGACATAGGGTGATTCTCCGTGCCTTTCGAACTCTCTTGTGTTGATTATGGCCTCGAACAAATCACTACATGCATTTATGCTCAATTTGGAGATATTTTTTTTGGGGGGGTATGGGGAGATGGTATTTGTGTAATTACTTACAAATGCCAATTTGCAGAGCAAGGTCATTAATTTTAGAATGGTGCTGTCTTGCATTGAAGGTTGGCAATATAAACATAGGGTGATTCTCCGTGCCTTTCGAACTCTCCTTGTGTTGATTGTGGCCTCGAACAAATCACTACATTTTGTCTGTTTTTTTGCTAAATGTTCAGTATAGTTCGTTTTTGCTTTGCATATTGTATCGTTGGTTTTACACCTGATTTAAGCAAACTCGAGAGTTGATTGTTTAGTTTACAACATAATTGAAGTATCTGTGAAATTCTGACGGCATGAGACTATGAGAGTAACCATCAGTGGTGTTTATGTTAACTATGTTTTTTCAATCCGTTTCTGTGTTGCATAGAGAGGGATTTTGTTTGCTTTGTATTCCCCTTGGCAATCTTGTTCTCTTGCCATGACAAATTATTGTATACTTGTGAATTACATCTATTCGTTACCTCTTGTTCGGCATTTTGACTACATGGAAAGAAAAGTTTCTTGAGGAGTTTTGCTAATCCATGTCACTTCTCACAGTTCGATCTATGCTTGATTATCTTGTTCTGGTTTTCATTATACTACTTTTGATTTCAGTTGTTGGATTCGGCAAGAAGAGAGGACCCAACTCATCAGAGAAGTAAGAGGTTGAATAGCAGAATGTGAAGTTATGCAGCCAGTCTTCTTAGGATCTCTCAGTTTCACTTAAATTTCTTTTTTCTTTTATATTAGTGCCCTCAAGTAATGTACTTTGTGTATTCTTAAATGACTTGTTTTTATGGTGCTATTTAATCTTTAACTCTGTAGCTGGATTCATCTTTCCCTATACTTCGTAATAGAAACAATTTTGTCCATCTGATATCATCTCATATTCTCACTCCATCTTTAGGTTTTTTGATGTCCTGAGTACATTTTACAGTAATTTCACTTTTTTTTTTTTAAGTGTATCCGGCATCCAATGCAATACGAATTATTTGGCTAGTAAATAAGTAAACAGGGAGTAGTATAGGCCTTGTAAGTTGTAACAGTCTACCATGACTTAGTGCAAGCTCAAGTGGGTTAATATCATCTCCCACAAAAAGAAGAAAGATAGGAGAGTAGAGAGGAAATTTTAGTGTTATTGCTAAAAAAGATCATGTTTTCAGTTAAACAACATAGAACCAAAAACCTGCTTCATATACTTTGCTGCCACCAAGGAAACATATCGACTATTGACCTACTGTCATATCTTTGCCAAGAGTGTAATGGTACAATTGATTTAAGTTTGAACCATGAACAAAATGTTTTTTTCCTCATTTGAAGCTATTTCAAACGAGATTTACATTCAAGGACACCAGCGCGTTTTTGGTGGCCGCACCATGCGGCAGGGTGCCAAATCAGCAAATGACAAAGTAACCCCACCAACCAAGTAACCCTTTCAACCAAGTAACCCCCGTCCGGACCAAGTAACCGCTCAAGTAACCTATCTAGTAGCCCTTCTAGTAACCCCTGACCGGACCAAGTAACCCCTCCGACTACCCCTTAAGTAACCCTTCCAGTAACCCCTCAAGAAACCCCTCCAATTACCCCTCAAGTAACCTCACTTAAATAACCTCCCAAGTAACCCCTTAAGTAACCCTCGACCTACCCATGTAATAACCCCTTAAGTAACCCCCGACCTAGTAACCCTTGACCCACCACCACCCCCAAAACGCCACTAGCCTCACCCCTAGGCCAATACGCCATGCCACCACCACCACCACCACCACCACCACCACCACCACCACCATACATCAAACCCACAAACAAATATAAATCCTACCAGACCCACAACCAAATCGTTAAAAAAATTAAATCGAACAAATACCTTTAAAATTAATAATGGCTTCGAATTTCACTTCAAGTATGGCTAAAAAGAGCAAATTCGACTGTGAAAACTGTAGATCTAGAGTTTTTATGGCCGAATTTGGCCTTAAAAACATTTGAAGTAGTTTTCCGACGACAGAGAACGAGGAGTTCACGGAGTACGACGATGGGTTGGTGGAAGACATGCGTTCTTCCTTTGTAATTGCAGTTTTTTTTTTTTTTTTTTTTTTTTTTTTTTTTTTTTTTTTTTTGCAAATATACTGCCCTTTTTTGTAGAAAGGAGGAGAGAGATAAAGAGGAGATAGCTTGGTGAAGGGGATAATATGGATGGCTAACTAGAGAAGAAGAAATTAAAAAAGGAGAGAGAAAGAGGAGATAGAAGAAGAATTAAAAAAAAAAAATTATATTATGGCTTGCCGTACGGTGCGGCCAGCCACATATGAAACTTTGTGCAATGATAAGGGGCTAAGGGTTGCATTATAATGGAAAAATTAAGAATTACTCTGTACAATGTTAGAAAATGTATTTTGTTGCTCATTTTAATTACCTCACTTACACTAAGTCTTTTAAATTTATCATTAGTGTTACTCTCTTACCTTAGTAATTATACTTAGTATTTTAAATTTTAAAATTTACTCTCCCTCCCTATAAATTTCAATAAATCATGTGTTCAGCCCACTCTAAATAACCTGAAACGGAGGGAGTAAATGAACAACATAAGTTATAGAGAGCTGAGATGAAAATTGCCAGATGAAGAATCAATTATATCAAACCACTATAAAATTTGAAAATAATGAGCACATGGCCAATGGGTTAACCTGAGCTCACAGTTTGCTACTTCGCTAGTGCCTTTAGGAGTGCATCTGTGCATATGACCTACGGTCTAAAATCTGCATGGAGTATTACTATTTAATAGTGCTGCTTACTGTTAATTATTGCTTTGATTTACTATTTATAAGACTTTAACCTCCATATTATATAATGGGCCCCACATAATTTGAAATTCAGGTATTTTTTGAACGTTACGTTAGGACATATAGATTGCTAGCTTAGGTTGTGGGTTTTCACTTTGCTGCAATGTTTGATATACTGTGTAAATCACAAGAAAGAAGACATGAGGTAAACTACAAGAGCGCCGAACATTTTCTTGACTCTCCGACATTTTCTTTTGCCATAAAAGTGTAAAGTTTTTCCTTTTTAACTAGTTTATTGGCACCACCCTTTAAAAAAAAAAATACCTATTATTCACACCATCTTATCCAGTTGGAAATTTGGAAATCCACTTGTTACATAATTTAATTTGTAACTTGTGTGTAGTCTCACGTTCATACTAATTGTAACATACTTTTGATTATGGAGGATCTGTTTTCGATTGATTACATCGCCTATTAATTGAAAAAAAAAAGATCTAGTTGTATTGAATTGATCCATTAACTTCACTTTACATCACGAAAGAGAACTCACTCTTTATTACTAACTCTATTTTATTTATTCCTTCTTCCTAAATATATCGAGATCAAAATTAGGGTTAATGGTGATGTTTTTTACACGTTTATCTTTGAATATTATCATGAGCACGATATGACAAGACACATTTAATGAAGCGGGCCAAACTAATTTTATGTTGATTTTTTAACATTTCTATCTCCAATACGAACACAAACACGACATAATATGATATGATAGGTATAATTGTCATTTCTAGAAAGATTGATACGTGAGCAAGCTGGAAAAGTAGTAGGAACAAATTAAAAATAATTGGTGTGAAAGTAAATTAAAGTTGTAAACATCTACAACCAAAAGGAGAGTGTTTAGGGCACTAAAGTATAGAGTACATGATACCAGCAAAACATTTTTACATTATATGCACTAGTAGAAAAATATAAATAGGCAACTCCCTAATGGCACCGGTTCAGGCAAAACCGGTGCCAAAAACCGGCCTAAAAATGAGCAAGTTTTTGAACAAAGAGAAATGGCACCGGTTCAGCTCAAACCGGTGCCAAAAATAAAAAGGGCACCGGTTTGAACCGGCGCCTAACCAAACCGGTGCCTAACCGAACCGGTTTTTAATTATTAAAAAAAAAAACCCGCCCATTTATATACCCCCAAACCCTAAATAATGAGCCTATTCTCTGTCTCCTCTCCTCCGCCTCTTTCTCTCTCCTCTCCTCCTCTTTCCTTCTTGCTCAGGCCAATACACCATCGATCTTCTTCATTTCTATGTATTTCTGAAACTCCTCCTCCTTTCTATCACTCGAAGACGAAAAAGAAATGGAAGACAACAACAAATCGAAGACCAAAAACCGTGGGGTTTTATTTTCGTTTTTCGATTTTGATGTTGTTTTCGACTTTGATGTTTTTCGATTTCAATTTCAATTTCGATTTTGTTTTTCAAGTTGCATGCGGTTTTGGGGTTTTATTTTTCGTGATTTTCAGGATTTTTTTCGATTTTCAAGTAATTTCGATGTTTTATTTTCGTTTTTTGATTTTTTTTTCTATTTCTGGGTTTTGTTTTTCAATTTCAATTTTGATTGTGTTGTTTTTGATTTTGATTTTGTTTTTCGATTTCAATTTCAATTTCGATTTTGATTTTGTTTTCAAGTTGCATGCGGTTTTGGGGTTTTATTTTTGTGATTTTTAGGTTTTTTTTTATTTTCATTTTTTTTCAATCTCTGGGTTTATTTTATTTTTGTTTTCAAGTTTGTTTTAATCAATTTTTAATCAATTTCGATTTTGATTTTTTTTTTCAGATTTTGATTTTTTTTTTCGATTACAATTTTTTTTTGTTTTCTGGGTTTTTGTTCGATTTTAATTTTTTTTCGATTTCTAATTTTTTTCTGGGTTTATTCGAATGTTGTTATATTTATTTTTTGGGTTTTTTAATCGAATTTAATTTTATTTATTTTCTGGGTTTTTTTAAATCGAATTTAATTTTATTTATTTTGTGGGTTTAATTCTTTTTTAACTGTTCTGGTTTTTTTTTTTCTTTTCAACTCATTTTCTTTTTTATTTTTCTATTTTTTGGAATTTTGTTTTAGAATTTTTTTCGCAGCTTAATTAAACCATTTTAATCGATTTATTTTGGTTGTTTTAATTGGTGCAGGTACATGAATTTAGATCTTAAATTGAAGAATCAAGAAGCAAGTATATTGATTTAGATGTGTATTTTTTTATTGTGAAGTGTAAATTTTTATTTTAATTTATATTGTAATTTTTTTTATTTATGTTGTAATTTTTTTATTTTGACTTATATGTTGTAATTTTTTTTATTAATCTATATTGGAATTTTTTTTTGATTATATATTTATTGAACAGATTTGATTATATTGATTGTGATGTTCTATTTATATTTTATATTCTCATTTAATTATAGTTTATTTAATTTTTAAGTTAAAAAAAAATTAATTTTTTTGCACTTTTGGCACCGGTTAACCGGTGCCAAAAGTGGTGAATTAATTTTTTTGGGTACTTTTTGGCACCGATTAACCGGTGCCAATTTCAAGTTTTGGCACCGGTTTGAACCGGTGCCTTTTTAAACCCCTTTTTGGCACCCCCCACTTTGGCACCGGTTCAAACCGGTGCCTTAGGCCGGGTTTGAACCGGTGCCAAAGTCATTTTTTTCACATAGTGATGGTATTACTGAATAAGTATTTTGGTATTTAGATGATACCATTTAAACATAATTTGTTACCAATGCCGTGTTATTAGAGTTAGTGGACTCTATACATTAGTAGCTTATACTTTCCCCAACAAAAAGTAATATTTCATATATATGAAACTAACTTAAAGATCGACTAAAAAGAAAATTGAGATAAATATTACTCCCTCCGTTTTTAAATACTTGCTCAATTTCTCCATACGCGGAGTTTTAGGAGAAATTGAAGAAAGTAATAAAATATGGAGGTAGTGGGATAGGTAGAAGAATAAAAAATTGTATAAATTAAAAGTAGTGGAGAGAATTGGAGGAGAGAGAATATATGTTGAGCCCACTAGGTGAGAGAAATTAATTTAATATTGTA